AGGTGCCCTAGCTCCCTCAACCCTAGGCCTCACCACTAGCCCAGGGAGGTGGGAACTGGAGCAGACCTACCGTCCAGAAAGCGCCATCAGACTGGCAGGTCAGCCCCATCTCCAGGCAGCCCACAGGCAGAAGCCACCTGGCAGAAGAGCCTGAGGCCCCAAGAGGAAAGCTCTGGGCAGCAGGTAGTGGGCCCCTCTCTCCTCTACCTGGGGTGTGGTCTCCAAACTTCCTGCCAACACCAGTTGGTTTCTGTCCCTGGGAGTCCTTCATTCGTTTAGCACCTACCACACAGGACTCACCAGCTCCAGGGGATGGAGAGGCCTCCACAAGAGGCACCATCTCCAGCTCCCGCAGGAAGATGTGGCTGGCCAGGCCATCAACCCAGGCCCAGGATAGCTCCAGGACCCTGCAGGGCATACACCAGGTACTGGTTTTAAGACGGGTGAGGCCCTTGTTGGTGGCGTCCTGACCGGCAGTGGGCCAGCAGCATGGGTGACCCAGCACGCCCCCGCCCCTGCAGTTCCCAGAGCAGGGCACAGCCACGCCCTGCCACCTCCCCACTGCACTGGTTCACATGCCGTGCCCCACGGCCAGTGTTGTGTCCCTCATAGCAGATGGGAACAGCCAGGGGCCCAGGGCTTTGGGGGCGCAGAGCCTTGGGCTCCAGCCCCACTAGGGTGCGCAAAGCCAGGTCCATGGGCTCCTTTCATTTGGCCCAATGCATCCCTGCCTTTGACCCCGGACCACGCGTGGAATGTTTCGTTGTTTTCGCCGCTGCCAGGCCCGCCGGATCTAGTGGTCCTAAACATTTCACAATTGCGCTACAGAACTGTTGAACTGTTAAGAACCACTGGACCAAGCGCGCGAGTCCCTGACACCGTCGGTTCGCTGTGCTGTGGAAAGAAAAGCCCCACGCCTTGGAACGACAGCGTCGCCCCTACGCCCCATGGCATGTGCCCATGCGCCCCACTGCCCAGCTTTGGCCCTCCGCACCTCCACGCGGTCCCGGGCCCCTGAACGCCCTGGGCGCCCTGGCGCTCGCAGGGACAGCGCAACCGCCGGGCCCAGCCCTTCCGCGCAGCGCTGCGCCCCCTCGTCCCGCGTGGCAGGCGGCTTCGCTCCGTGTGGCAGCGGCCAGCGCGGCGGCACCTTTTAAGCGCGCGGCCGCCCTCCCCCGGCGCCGGAATGCGCCCGCGCCGTTCTGGCTGGACCGGTTTTTCCCGGCAGGGCGGCTTCTGGGCCCGCGGGTCGCGCGGTGGGTCGTCCACGGCCCCGGGACCTGCTCGGCGCGCCCGCGCGGGGGCGGCCCTGACTCACTCGCCTCCCGCCCTGCCTGGCACCCCCGCCTCCAGCGCCCAGCCTAGGCGCACCTGGCCACGCCCGAGCCATCTCTCCTGGGAGCCGGGGCGCCCGGGCTCGCTGAGCGGGTCGGGGTCCGCACTTGGCAGAATTGGGGCCCAGGGCGGCCCAGGCAGGTGAGGACCAGACCCAGACGAGAGCCCGGGACCGGGGGATGCTCCCAGCAGGGTCTGGGGGCCTGGGCCCCGCATGCCCATCCCGCCCCTCTCACTTCAAAGGGAACTCCGTGGGAGGGGGCAGAGAGGAGGGAAGAAAGAGAAAGTGAAACTGGAGGGAGGGAGGGACACGCCCGCCCTCCAGTTTCTGGTTCTCAGCCCCTTGCCTGTCCAGTTAGCAAGGTAGCCAGGGCGGCCCACACTGGGAGTCCCATACCTGCCCCCTTAGCTCTGCGCAGGGTGAGGTCGGCGTCCTGCCCTCCCCCTACCCAGCCTGCACTTTGCCCCCACCCCTAACACGCATGGCGGCCCTGCCACTTACTCACCTGGAGGTGTCTGGGCCTGACCAATGGCGCCTCCCAGGGACTCCCAGCCAGTCTGGGCTGCCCATTGAGTTGATGGGGGTGAGGGAATGGGAGTTTGTGGGGAGGGCTCTGGCTTTAGGAAATATAGGGAATTTGGGGGGAGGTGACACCCTGAAGTCATTGCCTAGTGTTGAGCCACTGGTGTGACTGCGTGGAGCTGGGTAGCATGGGGTGGCCATAATTTGCTCTAGGACAAAGTGGCAGCATATGGCCACTAGCCTTTGGGACACCAGTGTTCTCAAGGTGCAGGAGCCATAGACTGACCTGGGCCAAACTGCGGCAGACCTGCGACATTTTCATACATGCTGTGTGTGGTTTACTGGCAAAGATTTCAGTATTTCCACTTATAGTTGGGGCAACTGAGATTAAGAGAGGGGTGATGACTTCACAGAGGTTGCACGGCTCCTGCTGGAGAGGGCACTGCTCAGTCTGTGGGTCTGCATGTGGAGGCAGAGGAGCTGTGGGTGGGGCTGAGGTAGAAAGGGGGCACAGAGACTTGTGACCCACAAGAGGAGCTTGGGAATTTTCTCCCACCCTACTCCACCAGTGCGTGGGCTGGGTGAACCCACCTCTCTTGTTCTTAATTCTGAACCCTGGTCCAACTCCTCCTACACACTGAGGCCTGAGTGGGCTCCCCTTACCCAGCGAAGCCAGCTCACCATCAGCATCAGAGGGTGATGATAATCAGAAGGGGGGTGACGGGTATGGGCACCTGTGCCTCCCACCTGCATCAGGAAATACAGGAAATACCGAGCTGTGACCAGAAGGGGGACTTCCTAGCATGCAAGAGAAGTGTGGTTATTGCTAGCTGGGATGAGATGCCCTTGCAGGGCCCTGAACTGAAACAGAGGAGTCTGATCTTAGGATAGAAAATCCTGGGAAACATAGATAGTGGCTGTGATGAAGGGGAGATGTCTCCCCGAGATAACCCTGGGATCCAGGTGGTTCTCCATGGGCTGTGGGAGCTGAGTGTTCCCCCAGTGAGAAATTACCAGGTGTGAGCAGGGCCCCCGGCTGTGTCTCACCAGCCAACCACTGTGGCAAGAGACCAGGCGCTGGGCCTGGTGCAAGGCAGTTATAGCCCAGCTGTGCCTGACGCCAGCATGCAGCCCTGGGCGCAGGCCTTGACCACTCCATGCCTTAGTCCTCAGTTTCTTCATTTGTAAAATGGGAGGCAGAATTAAGACAAAACTAACCAAGACATGGCAGAATGCGAATGTCCAAAACTGTCTTCTGTCCTGGCTGTTCCGGTTTCACACTAAGGAGTAGGAGGCCCAGGGAGGCCACTCTCTTCCCAGCGTAGAAGCTCAATTCCACAGGGCCAGTTTGGCCACTCACCAAGGGGCACACAACAGCCCCCAAAGAAGTTTTCAGATATGTTCCTGAGACACTGTCCAGGCAGGAGCTGTCCCAGGGACCCAGATCCCACACATGTGCAAAGGGGCCTGGGATGGGGGCAGCTTCTTAGCCTTGTGAGGACCTACTGCTCTGCCCACTGCCATAGGCTCCTCCCCAACCTTGTCACCCCCAAGATGGCTCCACTGAACTCCATCAATGACCCACTTGGGCAAAAGTCAGCTCAGCAAGTGCTCTCCAGAGGGCGTCAGAATAAGTAGGTGTCTACACTGGCAGGTTGGCACCTGCTCTAGGAGGGTGCTGCCATGTGGGGTAACGTAAACCACCTGTGGCTTTCACAATCTGGGGCTCGGGGGCCTGAGAGAAGTGCTGAGTGTGTTGTGGCTGTGGGCGAAGGGCTCTGCCCCATCCTCGTAAGTGTAGTGAGGGGGTGGGCACTTCCAGAGAGCTGCCGAGTGCAGGAGCAAACGAGGACATTGGGGTGGGCTCAGCTGCATGATCCCAGAGGTGGCCTTGCCCCTCTGTAACTCCACCAGGCACTTGGAGCGTGCCAGCTCACCCATGACAGCGGGGCTTCTGGCTCCTAGGCCAAGTAGCCATCATGGAGCATCATCAGGGGTGGGGCAAAGGCTGTCCCAGCCTGCCATGTTCATGTGGTGTCACCTGGTTATGCAAGGCCTGGGTACACTGGGTCTGGGCAAGGATGGGGAGACTGTGGTGGCAATGCCAGCCAGGCTTGGAAATTAGGCTAAGGAGCCTGTTTGTGTCCAGGTGCCAGTGGCCAGGTCCAGGGTCACACTTTTGTTCAACATTTACAGTGCCCTCCCAAGCCCCCATCTAAGAGCCAGCCAGACAGAAATCCACACGGCAGTTAGAGGGAAGCCACCACCACAGCTCCTCACATCCAGTGAGGAAGGTCAGGGACAGTGTGCAGCTCTTCAGGTGGCCCATGCCTGGGGGTAGCTGGCCCCAGGAACCACTTAAAGTTTAGACTGAGAACCAAGCTGGGTGTCCAAACACCTAATTTCAGCCCCAGCCAGGCCTCTAACTTGGCATACAGCTGCCCACAGCCCTTGGAGACCCACACCCACTGGGCCCAGGCCTACCTTGCCCTTGGGCACACCTGCCTGCCACAGGGCCCACCCACATACCCACCTACCCAGGCTGGCACAACCAGGGTGGCATGGGTTGCCCCTCCCCTGCTTCCCCGGCAGGGGCCTGGGTGATGAGGCAGGGACCACAGGCAGACTGGGAGCTGGAACGGACTGTCCTGAGGAGTTACCGCTGGAGAAAGTGGAAAGTCCCCCAGACCCTGGTGAGCCCCTGGTCTGTGATGGGCACAGTAGGCTGACGGAAAACCAGATAGCAACCAGGGGCCATGAGGAGAGTCCAGCAGGAGCAGTGTGCACCCAAGAAGGGTGGAGGGCTGCCTGGAGGAGGTGATGCCAAGCTTAACAATAGCAGGAGATAGGGGTGAAAGGGCAGACGTGGTCTGGAGGGAGCAGCAACATCAGCAAACTCATGGGGGCACAGATGCAGGCAGGGGCAAGTAGGAAAGGAAGAACAGCTTGTCCAGAATCACCTCCCCTGTGCCACCCCCAGCCTGGCTCACACTCGCAGTCAGCCATCTTGGGAATGATTGGCTAAGTGTCTCTCACCCTCCTCCCCTGGGCGCTGAAGACACTGCCCTTTGCCCCAGCCTGGGGCCTGACTTGCCACATACCCACAGTCCCAGGACCCAGACAGACCCATTCAGAGCTGGGCTTTGGGAGCCTGGGGAGCCAGTGGTCTCCAGAATGACTTTATTGCCATGTGGCCCAACAGGGACTTTAGGCTTTGTTGTGAAAACAGATGGGATGCAGCCTCAGCTGTGGGGGAGCTTCCCAGCTGGACAGCCAGCAAGGCCAGTGCCTGAGACTCCTCCAGCAGGTCTCAGCAAGAAGGAAAGGAAGGGCTTGTGCTGTCACAAGACAGCTTCAGGTTAGACCCCAAGCAGAATTTCTGGAAATTCTGAGGTCTCCCAAGACCTCCTTCCTGAGAACTTGAGGCCCAAGTACTACATGAAGGCCCAGGCCAGACCTGAGCAAACCCAGCCATCCTTGGGACTTGGGAGGGTGAGACAATGGAGTAGGGGGTGGGGGTGCCAGCTGGTGGCCTGGTCTGAGAGACAAGTGGAAGCACCCAACCCAGAGGGCCTACTGGGGCATGCTGGCCAGGGTGTACCATGGAAGCACCTGGAGCCAGGCTGGGTCCCTCCAGTGCTCAGGTCTGGTCCATCACAGGGCAGCCTGCCTAGACAGAATGCAGGAATCTCAGGTGGCCTTCCTCTGGGAAGCCTCCCTGCCTGCTCCTGTCTCCCGCCCCCCACAGGAGGGTCTCTGCACACCCTAGACAGACTTTGGCCCATCCCAGCCCCCCTCATGCTCTGTCCCTGAGACCAGCTCTTAGACACATTCCTGAGCCAGGAACCAGCTGCAGGGTGGGGAACTCACTGGGGACAGATGTCAGCCTCGCCCAGGTGAGAACTCACTGGGCCTGGGGCCTCAGCAGTGACCCCACTTGCAAGGCTATGTAGAAGGGACACCACTTCCAGGTGCCCAGCTGCTTCTGCCTGTGAGGACAGATGGGGAGGGGCTGTCTCAGGAGCATGTAGCCAGCAGTTTGGCCCCTGATACCCCTGCCCATGTACATGGTTCTCCTGGGAATCAGGCATTTGGGGGAGGGGCAGAGGCAAGAGAGCTGGTGGACTAGTCAAGGCCGCCTTCCTGGAGGTGGTGGGCTTCAGCCAGAACACAGGGTATAGGGGCACTCACAACACGCAGAGCACTGTGCCCATCATAGCCCGGCTGCCCCAGGTCCACCCCTGCCTGACACCACGCCCGCAGCCCATCAGTGTCCTCCCGGAATGCCAGTCTGGGGAGAAAAGGGAGCAGTCAGGGCTGCCGGCCTGGCCAGCAGAGGCCAGGCCCTACAGCTAACGTCGCTGGGGGCCCACAGGCAGCCTGGAGTCTGGTTTCACCCAGTGAGTGTGGCTGTAACCCAGGTCAAGGGCTCAAGCACTCACCAACACACACATACACACACACACACACACACCACCCCCACCTTCTAAGTGCCCTAGGCCAGTTTCACATTTCACAACCCCATTCTCCCTGGGGTGGGGTCCACAGAGAAAAGAGGAAAGTCTGAGGTGCCCAGTGGTTCAAAGACAGAGACACAGGAGGAGCCCAGTGTCGGGGTATGCCCTAGACCCAGCAGGCCACGTGGGGGGGCCCTGGCCAGTAGAGGTCAGGCCTCCTGCCAGATCCCCTTCCCCCAGGCCCCTTCTATGGGGAACCCACCCCTACCCTGAGAGGCTATGGAGGTGTGAGGCCACACCAGATGTGCTAGAGTGGGTAGGCCTCCGCCTCCTCCAGAGATCCCCATGACTCTCTCCTGATCAGGGAGCAGCCGTGGTGATTTCTGGGAGAATCAGGCTGGATGGCCCTATGCCCCAAGTGGAACTACCCCAGGGTGGGCAATGTCTGGGAGAGGTTATGTTTCCATTTGTTGGCCCCAGGAGGCCTGCCCAAGGGCCCCCCCAGTACCCAAGTCTAGCCCAGCAGCTCAGGCTAGCCAAGCCCACTCCTAAGCTGCCCCTAAGGAACCTGGCTACCGCCTCAGTTTTTCCATCCATCGGTATAGCCCACAAGGCTCCTGGGGTACAGTCCTGGCCCAAGCCACCCCAGAAGCCCTTCAAAGCCAACACCAATGGTTGTGGTGGGCCCCACAAGATAGGGTTGGCCCCTCCAGTCACCTCTGAGAGCCCACCTCATGCTGACAAAGGCAGGGGCAGCTAGCCACATGTGTTCCCTGGGGATGCTGAGGGCCAGGGCCGGAAGGCTGAGCCTGGGTAGGATGAGGGTCTCACTACCTCACCTGTGTCTGGGCAGGGTGGGGCCAGGGCTGTAATGCCTTCTCTTGCTGCATGGGCACATAGCCTCCCCTAGCCAGTCAGCCTAGGTCCCCCATCCCTATCCACTCCCCAGGCCTGGGGGACACAGAGCCCAGCCACATGTAGGATCCCTGCTCTGGCACAACCCTGCTGCCAGCCTGCACCTGGCCCAGGACTCCTGCCATTGCCTCACCCCTTTGGGTCTCTTATGGCTCTCCAACCCATCCCACCAACGGGTAGCCCAGGCTGGGCATAGGAAGCTATTGCAGGTCACCAGGTCGGGGGTGGGGACTGTGGGGACAGAGGAAGATCTGAGCTCCACGCCAGGCCTACTGTCCACCCAGCCCCACCACCAACTTTCTGAGGCCCAGCTCCTCAGCCCACCACCTACCCCAACCTCTCCAAATGCAGCCTGGCCTCCCTCTAGTCCTGTCCCTGCCCACCACACAAGCACACAAATGCATGCAAACCCATACCCACACACACGCCCACTGGGCTGTCCTCTCAGATGGGTACAGCCCCAGGGTGTGGCCTGGGCAGACACCTCTCCCATCAGCAGGGCTGGGGCAGGCCACATGCAGAGGGGGCTGTCCCTCCTCTGAGCCCCATACCTCCAGGCAGGCCTGGCTTACCCTCTTCAAGTCCCATCCCCATAGCCTCAGAAGGTCTCACCTGCACAGCTCTGTCCCTGCGTCCTCTAGCTCCTCGGTGGACAGGCAGGCCCCAGCCGCTCGCAGTAGCTTAATGACACCCTGATGCCTGTTGTAAAGAGAAGCATACTGGCCTCTGCCCTGACTGGGCATAGCTGCCCCTCCCCACCCCCCATTCACACTGACCAGCAAGGCCAGTGTCCTGTCACAGGCACGGGGACTGCCTCCCCAAGACCCATAGCCCTGGGCCAGGGCCAGGCCCAGGGTGGTCTCTGGAGCCAGGCCTAGGGTGAGCATCTGTGGGGATGGGGATGGGGTGGGGCCCCCAGCAAAGCCAAGGAACTGGAGGTCCAAGGGCCCGAGGAGGCACCTCAGGCTGTGGTGGGTGACCTGGCCCTGAGCACCACAGTTGCTGACTATGCCCTGCACATGCCACAAATGATGTGGCTACACCATTTTCAGCAACAAATGTGAGGTTATGGGCTGGGGGGTCTCTGTAGGGGTTAGACCCCTCACACCACACAGGGCGATGCAGGGCAGGCAGTCTGAGGTCTCAGGAGGGACCCAGAGATTTCATCTCTGAGATGCCTACCACACCAAGGACACATAGTCCAGGACTCCCAACCCAGATCAGCCCTGCCTGTGTATCAGATACAGGCCACAGCCCCTTCCCCTCCTACCAACCCACCAGGCCCTCAATGATCACAAGAGCCTGGAAAGAACCTTCTACCCCACCCCAACCCTTTCACAAAGGTGACACACCCCACCCCAGGGCTCACAGCTGGGGAGGAACGCTCAGGACTGGACATGTCAGCCTGGTGGCTCCTGGCCCAGACACCCCTGGGCTCTCTCCAGAGGACTCAGGAGCACCCACTTCCCCCCAGATAACCCAGGGTCCTGCAGGCCACATACCCAGGCAGAAATCCCTGAGCCGCCGGCAGGACTGCCCCCACATGGCTCTCAGCAGAGGCTAACAGCCCCAGCCCCTTGGACACACTCACATGTGTGTCTAACCTGCCTGGTTGCAGCCTGAGACTTTGGACAGAGCAGTGGAACCCAAGACCTGGGACAGGTGGCCAAGATCTGCCCCCTCCCCAAGTTTCCACTGTCAGTTAACAGCAGCAGGTGACATGGAGGGGTACAAGGAGTGGGCCCAGGGAAAACCATGGGTAGGACCAGGTAGGACCTCCCTAGGGAAAAGAGATGATTCCCCCACCCCCACCCCAGGGCCCCCTAGTGCTGGCTGACCACCAGACCCTACACTCCCCCTTGGCCCTAGGGAGCAGGATTGCTGGGCGGGGTTGAGAGGGGAGAAAAAGGCCTGCTTATGCCTGGCCTAGTTCCCAGCCCTGTGTGATAGCTACCCACTTTGAGAGCTATCCTTCAACATGGACCCTCCCTGTCTCCCCCACATGGGGAGACCCCACCAACACACTCACACGCATGCCACAGGTGAGGAAGCCCTGGCAGATGACCTCAGATGACCCCAGCCTCTGGCTCTGCTGTGGAGCAGAGCAGCCCCAGTGCCCAGTGTCTCTGTGTCCCCTGCAGTGCCTGGGTGAGGGCAGGCACGGCTCTAGAAAGTAGGTGTCCCTAGTCTTCTGAGCTCTGCCCAAGGAAATTGCATGACTACAGGCAGGCCGGCAGCTCTCTGAGACCCACCTGCCCAGGGAAGCTATGTCCAGCCCCAACTCCCAGTACCTGCCCCTCACAGCCAGCAGCAGCGGGCTAAGGCCATCCTGGTCACGGGAGTTCACATCCACACCTCTCTGGAGCAGCATGGCAACCACTCTGGCGTGGCCCCCCTTGGCAGCTGTATGCAATGGGGTTTGACCATGGAAGTCCTCCAGGCTCAGGTCACTGCCCTGGGGTGACAAGGGCAGTGCCTTGTCACGTGGCCCCTGAGGGAGTTCTGGGCAGGCCATGGAGGGTCAGCTGTACCCCCAAGGGTGGGGCCCAGCTCAGCCACTGTGCCCACCCTCTGCTGCAGTGAGGCCCTACCCTCTGGCAAGACAGCACTGCTACCCAGCCTGACAGGCAAAGCCCTCATGCCCAAGTCTGTTATGGTTGGCTGCACCCCCCCGTGCAAGGCTCACCAGGTCTGCCAGCACCTGCAAGGCCTCCAGGTCTCCTGCATGGGCTGCAGCACAGGCCAGGCTGGGCATCAGAGTGTCCCGCACAGCATCAGCCTCCTGGGGGGAGAACAGTGGCACCTGGAACCCATGCCTCCCTCTGGGTCTTCAGCCCCTGGGGAAAGGGCAGCCAGAGCCAGCAGTCCCTGAGACTGCCTGCACCTGCCACCCCATGCTGGGGACAGTGGGTCCTCTGGCACAGAGGAGAAAAAGCCACCTGCTCTCCAAGATTCATTTTTTCCTGTCTCCATCATCACTGTCAGGGACAAAATAAGCCACCCAGTGGGGCATGCAGAAGGGGCGACAGTCACCCTGCTCCATGTTCCGGAGGGGCACCCACTCAGTGCCCCATCACCCAGAGTCCCCAAGACACCAGGAGGCCGGGGTCCCAGAAGAGTCCTCACAGGTGCCAGTGCACCCAGCAGGCATGGCCCAGCCTGACCACAAGGCTGCTGCCCCTGGCTCACATCCCTAGAGGGCTTGAGGCCAGGCAGCCACCCCAATGACCCCTTTTATCTGACCACCAACAAGCACCCCCAGAAAGTGGCAGTTACCACCACAGCAGCTCACCAGAACAGGACTGTCCCTGAAGGGGGACCACACAGACACACTGGGAAGCAACGCTCCCAGTGCCAGGCCAGGAAGAGTGGCAGAGGCTGGGGCAATGTGTGGGGTACAGGAAGCCCCCTTGGCCCCCACAGACCCCAGGCCCCAAAGCAGGTCCTCAGCCACCCCACCCTCCCAGGTCTGTACACCGACAAGGACAGGAGTTACTTGAAGGCTGACACTTATCTCTGTGTGCGGATGTGGAGTGTCCCACCTGCCTCCTGGCAGCCCCTATACCTTGGCCAGCACAGGTTGTCAAAGGGCTGCGGTTCAGCCAGGCGACAGCCCCCAGCCATCAGCTGTGTGCCCCAGTCCACAAGCTGGAAAGGCGGCACTACATGACCCAGTTCCCGTCCAGTTTGTTACCCCATGGATCCCTGCAAATGTCCCCGACGTGGATCCTAAACCCTCTCCTGGGCCGTGGTACCGAAACCATGCATGAGTTCCAGCTCAGGGGCTAGAATGACTGAGGTGATCCGTGCCTAGCACATCCCATGGGGACCAGGGGGTGCAGGGGCCCAATCTGCTGCTAGACAGCTCCCATGCTGCTCCCACCCATGTTGGCTGTACCTGGCTGCCACTCAGACCCAATAACCAGGCAACCCTCTGATCCAGCGGGCTGCCACACAGTGAGGGTTGGGGCTCGTCAGCTGTGGGCAGTGTCAGCTCCCCACGGAGGTCCTTGGCCAGCAGCTGGGGGAGAGAACATGGGGTGGGCAGGTTCTGCCAGGGCCAGACTAGCAGACCAGCCCCAGGCCTAGGCTCCCCACACAGGGCCAGCACCACTAGCCAGCCACACAGTCAGCTGGGAGTCTCTGAGGCCCCAGGGGCTGGCAGCCCAAGAGCCTGGGGCTGAATATGTCTGAGAAGGGTGGAAGAAGGGGAAGGATCTTGGTCCACCTGTGCTAGGACCTGAGGGTCCCCAGAGAAGGAGCAAGGACAGGCGGTGCCTAGCTCACAGTGAGGTGAGCACCAGGGAGCCTGGAGGCCGGAGCTGGTCCCTCCCCACCATGGAGAGCCCCACAAGCCAGCCATACCCCCAGAGCCAGCCATCAGTGTGAGCACCCACAGCCCAGAGAGGACACACCTCCTTCCTATCATCCAGGCTCAGGCCTGGCTGGCCCAGGACATATGACAGCTTGGCCAGAGCAGCTTCTGATGTCATGTCGAAGCCTGAGATGATGCCAGCTCCTGCCATTGCCTGTAGGGAGGCTCAGGACTCAGGGCTCAGAGCAGGAAAGGGTGTGGGCTGTTGTCGCCTCTCCAGGAGCCTCCCAGACATGTGGCCCAGACCAGGCTGTGGGACTTCTCCTTTCCCCCTACCACCTGCCTCAGTGTCCCTCTCCTACCATGCCTGCTGCATAGTCTGAAGTCACTGCCCCCTGAAGGCAGTGGGTACAGTTGACAATGACCAGGCCACGCTCAGCTGCGACCCGCAGCTCCTGCAGCACGTCTGGCTTGGTGGGCCCATTCCCTGAGCCAAAGGTCTCCATGACAAGGCCCTTCATGGGGGGCTGCAAGAAGGCCCGGACCTGTGGGGCAGTGGAGGTGGGGCTGATGGTGTGGCCTCTGCCTCCTGTTCCCTGCCACACCCTCCCAAGGGACACCTTGTCTGCAGCGTCTGTGGCCTGGTGTTTCAGGCTCAGAGCACCAAGGAGCACTGCAGAGGTAGGGGAGGACACAGAGGAGCCTGAGGCCCTGGCCCTGGCAACTCTACCCTTGTCTGGGGTCTGGTGAGGGCACACTGCCATTAAACACACTGAGGGTCCCCTGCAAGCCAGACACCAGCCCTGCTCCCACCCCAAAGGCAGAAAGCTCCACTCAGACAGCAGAGGACAGGGCCAGGGTCCCATAGGCATCTTGGGAAAGCAGGACAGAGGCAGGTACTACAGTCACAACTGGGGTCAGATGGCAGCAGGAAGAGGAAGACCACAGGAAGACAGCAATGAGAGATAGCAATCATCCCGGGAAACTGCAGCCCATTTGCCCACAAGCATCCACTCGGAGTCAGCCCCAATGCCTCAGCCTGGATGGCAGGGTGGGAGTACATATCCTAGTGGCCCTTGTGCAGGCCAGGGGTGGGCGTGAGCTAGGTCTGGGAGCCTGGTAGGCCACAAGGAGCCAGGGAGGGTACGGGGCAGGAGGGCAGGTGGACCCTACCAAGGAGGCAGAGATCCCAGGGTAGAGGCGCAGCAAGCCCACAGCCGGCTCCACGCTGTCCCGCACCACCAGCTGGGCTTTCCTGCCAACTTTGCGTACGAGGTCCCTGTTGACTGTGGGAAAGGGACGGGCTAAGTGTGGGGCTTGCGGTCACCTGCTACCCAAGACCCCGGTCCTGCCAGCTCTGCTTTCAGAGCCTCTCCTGCCCTCTCTTCCTCTCCAAGGCTCACTTAGGCTACGCCTGGTTTTGTGGTATGCACAGGGCCCAGGCACAAGGTACACTCGGTTCCAAGAGAGAGATCAATAGCCAAACAATGGGTGACACAGTGACAGACCAGGGAGGAATCTCAACTGGCCAGGCTAGGGGGCAAGGAGATGAGGGGACACACAGAGACAGAAACCTGCTGAGTCTCAGGCCACCTGGGAGTGTGCCGGGCAGGGCGGTCAGGGCCACATCCTCTGAACTGCCAGAGCCCATCCTCTGAAACCCTGCCTACTGCCCATCAAGTCCAGTGAGTCATCTGGCGCTCCTTGGGGGTTACCCCCAAATCCTAGAGGCCTAATGTGTGCCCAATGCCCTCTCCCCATACCCAGGATGAGTGATGGTGGAGTCCCAGGCCCTGCAGAAAGTGGAGAGGGGCAGAGGTTTGGGGTCAGTGCCCTGTGAATGTAGATGGCTACATATGTACAATGTAGTGGAGCTGCCTAGGGGGCCCGCCTGTGGACAGGTCTGAGGTCACCATCCTTTCCAGCACCTGAGTGGCCCAGGGTCTCCCAGCCTTCCTGCTCTGCAGTGCGTGGGGCCTGGCTTGTAAACCTCAGAGGTCAGTGCCAAAAGCAGGCCCATTCCTGTGGCCCTGGGTACCTTGCAGCCTCCAGCCAAGCAGAAGTGGACACTGGCAAGCCCCACTCACCAAGTGATGTGAGAGCCTGCCCTGGGGCAGCAGGCACCCCGGAGACCCTCTGGTCCAGCCAGGGAATCCAAGACTCCAGAGGGGAACAGCCTAGCCTGGGGTACCAGAGGGTCAGGCCCAGTGTCCTGGGAGCAACGGGAAGGCCCCTGACTCTTCCCACCCTACAGGGGGCTGTCAGCCTCAGGCCTCCTATTGTTTCTGCCAAGTGAGCCACATGTGATAATAAGCAGCAGAATTTCAAATACACTCGTGGAGGGTGAGGGGTAAAATAGACAGGAGTGCTGGCTGCGGAGAGGGGCAGGTTCTTGGCAGCCAGGCCCCTACCCACAGGATGGCCACCCTTTCACTTAGGATGGGCTTCTCAGCCACACAGCAAATAAGGTGTCAGCAAGGGTGGGAGGAGGGAGTGGGGGAGGGGAGGTGCCACCACCAGAACTGTGGCTGCAGAGGGGACTCACACAGGGAAAAGGAGGCCCCCATCCACAGTGCAGCCAGCCCACCCAAGGGCCTGGGGAGCAGCTCCCTGAGATCCCAAGTTCTTCCCACCCAGGGCCTGCTGGAGGTCAGATACATGGCTGCCAAGACACCCAGGGCTGAGAGAGAAGGAACGGTAGCACTGTGACCAGGCAAAGTGACCACCAAGTCCTGGAACAGCCCCTGCCCCAGGGACCATGCTCTGGGAGCCAAAGGGTGTGGTTCAAGCCTCAGGACCTGGGAAGGCAGAGCTTGTAGGGGAGGGGGCTGCTCCAGTGTGCAGAGCTAAAAGACAGAGGGCCAGTGTGACCCCAGAACCCAGGCCCTCCTGCCTCAGCACCTCGAAGACTGTGGCTGGGCAGCCTTTTGAGCATCCAGCCCCTGTCTGTGGTCTAGTGATGGCCAGCCCACTCCTCTCACCCCAGAGGCTAAGTAAACGTCCCAGGACAAGCCCCAGAGAAAGCGCCCAGGCCACCAGTGTACCCACCACCACTGCCAGGAGGGTGGGGACACATGATGAAGCAATCAGGCCCTGGCTCTGTCCCTCAGCCCCCTCCCCAGGGCCCCAGGCAGCCACACCCTGGGCAGAACCTGGGGTTTCTCAATACCCAGCACCTGGTGCAGAACCGGCCCAGCAGCCCGACATCAGGTGGGGCAGCTGGATTCCCACACCCTGAACAGATGGGAAGCAAACCAGCAGGACCTTGGCTGGGGAGGGGGCGTCAGCTTCAGTGCTGGGCCCAAGGCCAGAGTGCTCCTGGCCCAAATTTGGTATTTGGTGCCAGCAGGAGCCCTAGATTCCCTGGTGAAGCCCTCCATGGTCTCCTCAGGACAGGGGGTGGGGGCAGCCCACCTGCAGGCAGAGCTCCACTCCTGGACCCCAGATAAGTCCTGACTCAGTCCCCACAGGGAGCCGAGCCTACAGGATAGCCGCCCACAAGTCTACACCACTCCTCCTTCCTGGGCTGGAGGGCCAAGTGCCACCACCCAGCACAGACAAGCAAGCCGGGGTAACATCAGCACCAGCAGGGACCACCTCATCCAAGAAGCTTTCTGGACCGCCGTGGCTCTCCATGAGCAAATACCCGCTGCCGGGCCCCCAAGGCATGCTACACATGCTGATGATGTGGTCTGGGCTTTCCATAGAAGGCGCCTGAATGTCAGGGGTCGGCAGGTGCAGGGTGTGAGCCCTGGAATAGGTGCCAGGGCTCAGGCCTGAGCCAACACCTCCTGATGTGGCCCTGCCCCCTTCTGCCTCAATTTCCCATAGGGGCAGTGAGCGCTGTGCTTTCCCCCTGCCCTGTATTGCTGAGGGGCCATGGGGCCACCAGCAGGTCCCCACCTACCAATGCACCTGGCCTGCCACAGGGATGCCTTGTCTGAGCATCCAAAGGCGCTGGGTGCATTCAGGGGCACCTGCCTTTACCTGTTTTCATGAACAGGACCCCTAGCTAGACATGCCTAGAACCCCTCCTGCCCCTCCACCACAGCCCTTTCCCAGCACCTCTCAGGGTCCCTGTGTCTGGGGCACCTGGGGAGGCCCTGGCCCTGGGAGGTCAGGCCTGGTTGCCTTCCTTCTCTAGGAGCATCTTCTCCTCTTAGTGGGGCAGGACTATTCCTGGAGGCTCCCCAGGAACTGCCTGCCAGGCCACCAGCAACTGTGTGTGTCTGACCCACCGCCTGCCGATGCCCAGCCCAAACAGAAGATAGCATGGGAGCATGGGAGTGGGTGGAAGTTGCACAGTCACCCAGTCAGATGGGAGCAGCTCACGGCTCCTGACAAGCAGCCACACCTCGCCATGCACACAGTGAGCCCAGCTGGGGCATGGTGTCAAAATGCTCCCCAAGGCAGGCCAGCTCTGCAGCCTGAGAACAGGACACCACAGCCAGAGAGTTGAGGTGGAGGCCCCAAATCAGCCCCAGGACCCATACCTCAGTCTGAAGTCCATGGGACCCAGGGTGGTTTTGGAGGTGCTGCTGAGGCACCAGGGCCAGGGCAGCCCCTCTGAGAGCCCCTGTCATAGCAGAAGAACAGACCTGGGGCAGGACAGCTGGCCCAGAGCCCAGGAAGGCAGAGGCTCCCTCAGGAGGGTGATGTCCAGGTGGAGCAGTGTAGGCCTTGAAGCATGGCTCTGAATCTCAGAGAAGGCCTGGCCAGGGCACTGGTCTCTGATAGCAAGGTCTGAGGCCACCTCCCTAGGGGCAACCTCAGCACACACAACCAACTGAGACACCGTCAGCCCTACAGGGACAGCTGGGCTGCCTGCCAGACCCAGAGGACAGAAGAACTCCCCCCACACTCCCAAGGCCAAGGTAGCAGGGCAGGAGCATGTGCCCCAGGAGGCCAGGGGTGTGGCTGAGCCACAGCCAGTGTGGGAGAAACTCCCAGGCATAGGGCCATTTGGCTGGGGCAGGACACAGGATGGGCAGGTCCCTTGAACCTCTGCTCCAGGCCACCCCCCAAGCCTGTGGTGACCACTCACAGCCCACCCTCTCCAAAGCCCAGGGCAGAAGCAAGTGGTAAGTCCTCTCCAAGTCACCAGGTCCCCGAGCCCCAGGCAGTCTCTCTGTGGCAGCCCACACACTGGGGCCTTGCTTTTGGCTTACTGGTGACATCAGCACCCACAGTGGCCAGAGGGGGCAGGTTGGGGGAGCAGAAGGCCGCAAACCTCCGAGCATCCACCTTAGTCGTCCGGTTGCCCCGAAATAGCTGATTCTGAAAGAACAAGCAGACCTGGGGCGGAGGGAGGGAGGGATGGATGGCAGCTCAGAGCAGGCTGGCCTGCCGGGGCCCCGCTTCCTCTCTGCTATCAACAAGACACCCAGGGGAGGTGGACTGCCATCCCCCCACCACAGATACCCCGAGAGCCCACATTGCAGATGCTGCTCCCCGCAGGCCCCTTGGAGCCCTGTGCCCCCATGGGCAAACCCATGGGCAAGCAGGTGGCTGGTCCAGGAGGGGCACCATGTTGCCCTCCAGGCAGGAGACTTCAGAGAGGCCCTCATGGTGGGTGCAGTCCCTGCAGGGCACTTCTGGAAAGCTGAGTCTCTGCCCAGCCTCTAAGCCACTCATGAGCTGTCCCCCAGGAGGGACCAGGCCCACAACTTGGGCAGTGAGGTGGACCCACAAATGCACCCCAGTTAAGCCTCCTCCCCACTCCTGCCCAGGAAGGGAAGCGCTAAAGACAACAGGCTCCTGCCCCACCACTTGAGTGTGACTGTCCCCTTGGGGCCCACATGAAACAGAAAGACACCACAGGGAAGAGCTTCACAGCGGTGCTGGGCACAGCCTGTCCCAGGAAAACAACAGGCTCATCTACACTGTGAACATGGCGGTCGGGAAACCTGGGAAGAAATACACTGTTTGGGGAGCAAGGCTTAGGGGTGACTCTGTGTCCTTCCACTCCCGGTTTTCTGAGGTTTTCGACATGATTATATATCTCTTATAAGGTGAAAGACAAGTCCAGCCTGGGCCCTCTGAGCAAGTCTCACCTGAGGCCACCCCCAAGCTCCCTGAACCACCCAGGGCCGCACCTCAGGGATCTCATACTGGCCAGCCATGAGCAGCGCCCCCAGCAGGTTCTCACGACCGTCACTCCACAGGGCGTGGATGGGCACCTGGTGGGGGGTAGGGGCGTAGAGGGGCTGAGGCTGGGGAACTCAGAGTTCCTGGCTTAACGCTCCAGGCAACCCCTGAAGGCCCAGCTGAGGAATCCGTAGCCCAGGGCATGCTTCCCTGGAGCTTTTGGGGGCTGTTGCCAGGTTCTGCTCAAACGGACACAAGTCTGCCCTGTAGAGAAGGATTCTCAAGGTCTTGGGTAGGACTGGCCCCTGCAGCACTGGGGTTTGCTCTTGTGAAGCCACCTGAGGGCAACAGGAACTCTAAGTGAGCTTGTAGGAGGTCCTAATGTGAGGCCAGGTCTCCCTGCTGCCTTCCCTCAAAGTAAGCCATTTTCTAGATCATTCCACCAGTCCTGGCTTTGGGGAGTTGTGCTGGGTCAGAGGGAGAAAGGAAGGGCTTCAAGTATGAGGGCCTCTAAGGATGGCATTGATGGGAACCACAGTGGGAACCAGGGCCTCCCCAGCACCTGCCCTGTGTGTGGCCACCCCGCTGAGTCTCAGTCACAGTGGCTGCAAAAAGAAGGCCATTATGGAGAAGAGGAAAGGGTGCTTGGCACCAGCAGGGCTGAGTTGGGGCTCTGGGTGCTTGACAAGGCCGCCAGCAGGCCACGGCTTCCCAGCCCAGGGCATTCAGGATCTAGAGCCATGAGCCCCTCGCCATCATGGGCCAGCAGGAGCCACCCCTGGGAGCCACTAGACTGAATGAGAAGCTCGGAATCCCACCTCAGCCTCCAGCAGCACTGACATGCCTTGTGGCCTGAGGATACCCTAGATCCCAGCCCCAGACCCCTAGGGTTACCTGGGCACCAGTGAGGATGACGGTTTTCTGCAGGTTCTCCAGCACGAAGGACAGCACGGCAGCAGCAAAGGCCATGGTGTCTGTGCCGTGGATGACCACAAAGCCGTGGTACTGCTTGTAGTGTTTCTGTGGGAGGTCAAATGCTCAGGGCAGGCCAGTGAGCAGCAGGAAGTGGCCCAGGTGCAGGGGTGTGGGGGATGAGACCCTGAAAACCGTAGACCCCCCTCTGGAAGGAGGGCCCCTGCCTACAGTCCTGGGCCCTAGTGTCATCACAACCCCTGGCCCTGTGGCTCTCCTCAGATGAAAATAAGTGTGAGGGGCCTATAGACACTCTCCCAGGACAGGACTGTCCCCAAACTTCCAGTCAGTGTGCCCCCAGGTTCTTCAGACTGGCAATGCCTGGCAGCTGGTCAGTCTAGGGGCTATGTTGGAACTCAGCTCAGTGCCCCTGGAGAACCCCACAAAGAGGCTCCTGGCCCCTGGGCAGGGTCCTGCAGTCCCATAAGAGGGTTCCTCATGGACATACATGACGGGTACAAGGCCAAGGACACAAAGCCCAAGGCATAGCCATTGCTGGAGGCCAACAGGTGTTTGAGGGGCTGTTTGGGACAGCAGTTGGGCAGGTGGGCAAGACACTGACAGGCAAACCTAGGATGGCCTTCTAGGACCAAGAAAGGCCAGAGCCCTCCTGGGCCCACCAGCCAGCTTGGCAGGAGTGAAGCTGGCATGCAGGGATGTCTCTGGCCACCGCCTCCCGGAGGGGGACTAAGGCTGGACCCGAGTGGACGGCTGCCCTGGACCATGGCATCCAGGAGCCCATTTCCTAGGGCCAAGGGTTCACACTGGGCCGGGTCTTCCCATGGGGCATAAAGATGGTGCTGGCCAGGGATCTGCTGAGGCATGGCAGGGGCGCCCTCTGCCAGCCAGTCTGGGTATAGCCGTGGGCAGGGGAAGGCCTTTACGAGGCCCAGCCGGGCCAGGACCCCAGAAAAGGCAGCAGGGCACACCATGGGCCTCCATAAAGCAGTTGGGTCTGGACTGGAGGGCATGGCTGGAGACAATGGGGAAGCCTGCCCTGGACCACCATGGGTCAGGGTCACAGTATTCCAGGCAGTGTGACTACAAACACAAGGCCATTATCAAGAAGAGGAAAGGGTGCTTGGTACCAGCAGGGCTGAGTTGGGGCTCTGGGTGCTTGACAAGGCCGCCAGCAGGCCACGGCTTCCCACCCCAGGGCACTCAGGACCTAGAGCCATGAGCCCCTGGCCATCATGGGCCAGCAGGAGCCACCCCCGGGAGGTGTGGGGGCCGGGGCGGACAAGAGTAACTAGGAGGGAAGGGGGAGCCCGGTGATCCCACTCAGGGGAACAGGGGGTTCTTAAGGGAAGTGGGTAGGAATTGGGACTAGAGGGCTCAGTGGGGTGGAAGGGGTCCCCCAGGTGAGGCCTTTGAGTGAGCAGGGGAGCTGTGATGGTGGAGGCCCAGGGAAGAAAAGCTGACAGAGGTGGCATGTCTGCTTTCAGTACAGTGGACGCTGCACTGCTCTGCGGACACCGGAGGAGGCGCCTGCCCTAAATCCGCTAAGGCCTCGCCTGGGGAGGGAGTGGCAGGGAAGCGGGGTCAGGCCTGTGAAGTCGGCAACTGTCACCTCGGCAAGCAACTGCATGAACAAACCAACACAGCGGTCCAGCATTTCCTTTGCCAGAAAGTGGATGTGGCCCTCACTACCCAACCTCCACCTGCGTTGGGGAAAGGGCCTCAGGGCCTTGGTGCTGAAGTGTGACCCTCAGACTTGGTCCTTTCCTGAAGCTGCCATTGGCAGATGCTGCCAGGTCTGAGGCTGAGCAGGGGGATTCCACGTCTGCAGGGCAGACCCAAGGTGCAGGCTGGCCTTACCCCATCCCGCCCATGCTCCCACACACCACAGCCCTGCCCATGCCCCACAGTCCGGCCCTCCAGCCCAGTCCATGGCCTCCAGCCCTGCCCTCCAGCCCTGCCCATGCCCCACAGTCCTGCCCTCCAGCCCCGCCCATGCCCCACAGTCCAGCCCTCCAGCTCAGTCCATGGCCCCACAGCCCTGCCCTCTGGCCCTTCTCATGCCCCACAGCCCTGCCCTCCGGCCCCGCCTACACTCACAGCCCCGCCTATGCTCCAAAGCCCCGCCCATGGCCCACAGCCCTGCCCTCGAGCCCCGCCTACACTCACAGCCCCACCTACACTCGCAGCCCTGCCTATACTCCAAAGCCCCGCCCATGGCCCACAGCCCCCTACCTCTATTGTCTGGGCAATCTGAACCCACTCGGTGATGGTCATGTCGCTGGAGTCAAAGAGGGGCTGGCACTCCAGCACTGTATAGATAATCCTCTGACCAGGGCTAGCAGGGCTGCAGGAGGCAGAGGGGTTGGCTCCCACTCTGCCCCTCCTCCTGCTCCAAAGCCCCTGACCACTCTGCTCCCTCTGGCCCAGCAGAGGCCCCTGTCAGTGGGCTCTGAGCCTGGGAGCCCAACCTCTCTTCCACCTGGAGCTTAGGTCCAGGGGCTGTGGTCCACAAGAGAAGCAAGGACATGGGCCAGGTGGGGCTGCTCCAGAGCCATGTCCCCTTCCTGACCAGCTCTGAGAGGGAGGCTCAGATTGGCCCATGATGAGCCAGAAGACAACGCCGAAGGCGGCTTGTTGCCGGGGCTCAGCCTCCACCAATGAGGACTTCCAGGAGCTCTCCCAGAGCTGAGAGGTGAGGGAACCTCCACATTGGAGGGGGAAGCCACCTGAGTCAATGCAGCCACTTCTGACAGGCAGTCCCTGGACAAGAGCATCTCATCGTGCTGAACCAGGCTTAGGGGGCATAAGAGGAGGACAGGGAGGGAGTATGGAACCCAGCACACATGCAGCCACAGGCCCTGCCTCCCCTAGCCTTGTGATGCACAGGCTCTAGGGGAAGATGGCTGCTGGTCAGTCCTAAAGCCCCATGAAGGTGAGATGACGTTAGCCAGGCTGGTGTGGGAGTGCTGAGGTGGCCACATGGACCAGCTGGCACTGTCCAGTCTCAGGACCCTGCCTCCCCCACCCCCGCGCAGGACACCCAGAGGAGCCCACACTCACGGCAGCACCAAGGTGTCCTCCGGGAGGCCACAGGCCTGAGCGTGCTCTTCATCATGGAACATGGGCAGCATCCTCAGGGCAGCAGCCAGGCCCCTCCCAGGGACAAGCACTGCAAACAGAGTCCAGGTGGAGTGTGTGGTCAGGGCCAACAGTCACTGGGAGCCAGGCTGGGGCTGGGCCTGCTGTGGCCACCACCAGGACCCCTGGGAGGACAGATGGCTGCCCCATATTTGGAAGCCATGGCTTCCTGTCAATATTCATTCCTCATTTCTTGACCCAATGGCCCAGGAGCTCGGCCCAGGAGCTCATCCCAGTGTCTGGCATCCCCACCCAGGGCCTGCCTCTGCTTACACCCCCATCTTCAAATGAACCCATACTCCCAACCAAAGCTTCTGAGGTGCCAGTCCCCCCCAGCCTTTGTCTCATAGCCCGGCCATGTGTGCCCACTCTCGCCCCTCCACCTCCCGGTATATCCGCAGATGTATTGCTGGCTCTGTCTGCAAGTCCTTCTGCCCCACCCCACTGCTCACCCAGCAAATGCTTCAAGACCCAAATCAGGACACCACCTCCAGGAAGTCCTCCTGGATGCCTAGACCACAGGCTCTTCCTACATGCTCTATTTGCTGACACTGGAGCTCCTGATGGGCATGGTCTGTGTGTGACTCTTCCAGGGTCTCAAGCAGTTGCCCCTGCACAAACCCCAAGAAGCAGAGGACCCAGCACTCACCAAGTGCCCAGCTACCTCTAGTTCTGCCCTGGCCTACAGCATCATGCCTCAGAAGCCCCACTCGAGGGAGCACACACAAAGCTGTAGACTGGCATCTGATGCCCTCCCTTGGGGGAGCTCTGGAGCACGCTGGCCTCATCCACAAGGATGCTTGTGCTAGGTTCACTGTCCCCATCTCTGCCTCAGTCCTGTCCACCTGCCATAAGAGTCAGACTCCACACTAGATTACAGGCCCATTCTCTGCCAAATGTAAACCTGACCACCCCACTTGGTCCAAAGCCCTGACCCCTAGGCCCCAGCTGCAAGGCCCATAACCAGCCTCTGATCTCCCTCCTGGCCCATCCTCCCCTACTCCCAGCAGCAGCACCCCAGCCCTGCTATGCCTATTTCCTATTCCTCTATAATTAAATAACACTTGGCCAATTAAGATGGCACCACTCTACTGTCCCCACAGACTGTGTTTCTTACCCACCACCGCTCACCACATCTTTGCCAGGCCTTTTCCCATATCCCTACCTGCTAAACTTTCCACCCCATTTCTAAGCCCCTTCCCAGTCCTGCCCTCTCACCTCTCCCTGGCCTTGCAGATAGCCCCCCAGGTCTGTAGACATTTGCAGGAGGGTTGGGTGACGTGGGCTGGCTGAATACAGCAATTTGCAAAAACTCCACACCATAGAATTCAGTCAGCAGATAAGGATATTGAACCCACGCATATCTGTTGGCCTGTCTGCCCTCCTGAGATGCCCAAAGCATGACCAGGACATGGCCGGACTCCACAAAGGTCTGGACTTGCCAGCCCCGTAAGCAGACAGGACCAAACTTCAGACCCTGGGCATTCAGGAATCACCAGGCCACCCAGTGATAGTGGCCAAGTGTCCTGCCTCAAAAGATATTTATGTCCTAATCCCTGGGGCCTTTGGGTGTCACTTTACATGACCAAGTCTTTGCAGATGAGATTGTGTTAGGGATCTTAAGATGGGGGGGATAATTCTGAGTGTGCAGGTGGGCCCTCAATGCCATCTCATGTGTCCTTGTAAGATGGAGGTGGGGGTGATTAGAAGCAGAAAGACACATGGAGATGCTGGCCTGGGAGACGAGTGACAGACACCAGAAAACACTCACAGGGAGCACGGTGCCATCAGACTCTGCCTCAGGGACCGAGAGAATAAATTCTGTGCTTTCACAGTCCTGCTGCTGCCGGCTAACCCTGTGGTACAACAGCTTCCAGGGACATTCCACACTACAGGAGGAAGGGGCTAGCCTAGTGGGGAACACAGACCCTGGTGTCCCTGCCTGGGAGGGCTGGCCAGAGATGAGACTGAGCTCTCTTTATCCCCTGCTCTATGCAACATACTGCACCCATGTCAGGCATGGCTAGGACACAGAAAGCGTGCAGCCATGGGACGTGGGGACGTGCAGTTGCAAAGGGGCTCAGGAAGTTAATTGACAGAACCATTTTTCTAGATTTTGTCATATTCTTGGCTACTTAGAAATTTGTGATTGGTTGTGATTTCTTTCACTGCTGTAAATCAATATCAGTTTTCAGACCTAACTCTGACTTAGAAAATGGTGCTACTTTTCTTAATGAAGGACCCCCCTCTCCCCAAAGCTTTAGGCCCTTCAAAACCCTTCCCTGGCCCGTGCAGGCAGGTAACAGGTCCCCTGGTGCTAAAGAGACCTCATAGCTCCTTGCTAAATACACCCACCAGGAAGGAGAGTTTGCTCCCTCCAATAGTGGGTGCCCTGGAGCCACCAAAGTCAAACTTGGGACACATAAGCATGTGAGGGTGTGGAACCCACCTGGCCCCCAGGACTGCATTCCAGCTAGGCCTGAAGGGGTCTGGGCTCATGAGGGACTTTCGGAAAGAGGGACGAGCACCTGGGGGCCCCAGTTTGACCCTGGAGGCTTTTGGGTTTCTCAACTGCGTGGAATGTGGCCATGGATGCAGGCTTGTGCACGGACTCAGGGGTCATCAGCCATCTTGGATTCATAGTGCCCTGAGCTCAGAGAAGGGTCAGGTCAAAGGGCATCTCTGCCACCATCACCCTGCCCTCCATGAACTCAGCAGGGTGTGCTCTGTGTGCCGGCCACTGTTTACCAGCAGGCACAGAACTTGTCCCAACAGTGACAATCCAAACAGTTTTGCTGTCCAGAAGCCACACTCCCCTCTCCAGGCCCCCAGGGGAGGCCAGAATCTTCGTCAGCAGGGCCGTTAATCATTGACACCTACCAGGTCAGGTTTGGCTCCACAGAGGGGTATGGAGAGTGGGGCCAGTGTGGAAGGCCCCCAAAGCCTCCACACCTCACACACAGTTGTAGGCAAAGAAGCTAAGGTGACGGGTCCCAGTCTGCATGTCCCTGAATGACAACTGACCGCCAGTCACACAGGACAGCAAACTGCCCCCCCCCCCGCCTCCTGTGGCCCTGGCACCCAGTTCCCAGCTACTCCATAAGTGCATGTTGCTGTCCCGCTTCTAGGGGACAGCGGAGACCAGATCTCGTGTCTCTTTCCTCTCTATCTTCTAGGGCCCAAACCCTGCAGGCCACACTGAAGGGGAGAGGTGCCGGGCCTGAGCACCTGGTTCCTTCTGGAGGCCTCAGCTCTGTGCCAGAAGTGCTGCTTCCCCTGGGACCACAGAGATTGAGCCTCCCAGGCTCAGAAGGCTAAGCAGGAAAGGCTGGCTCCTCTGAGTTCATCGGATGGGGTGACAGCTACACAAGGAAGGGGCTTCCGAGCATAGGCCACTGCCCACTGACCCCTATCTCTAAAGCAACTATGTCTTTGACCAGACTCCTGAGGTGCCCAGAGCCAGTTCCCAGGGATCTTAGAAGACTTTCTCCAGTCTCAAACCCACACCCCATCCCACCTCTCCAGTGTCAAGGTGGACGCAAGATTGCCACCACAGAGACACAGTGACAGAACCCACAGGGCCCTGCTGCTATGGGCCAGAGGAGTGACACAACCCTCCACAGACAGGTGCCTGGGCAGGAGCATGTGGAGTGCGAGGGCCAGGGTGGGGAGAGTGGCAACAGGGGTCCCTGGAGAAGGCCCACTCCGGGCAGCCAGGAGCAGCAGAGACCCCCCAGGAATGAGGCTGAGGGCTGTTCTGCCCCCTGGGGGACACTCCACACAGTAGCCCACAAGGAACCTATGTGGAAGGGGTCTGCATTCCTGCCTTCCTGCCAGAACCTTCTGGCTGCTTGGGACAGTGATCCTGTTCCCATCCCTGAGGGCCTGGCTGCCCAGGCTGGGGTCCTCCCTAGTGCCCAGCGCACAGTGGCACTGCTGCCCGGGAGCCCTGCAGAGCTCCCACTCTGCAGAAGCAGCCCAGGCACACTCACTCTATGTCTGGTGCACAGGCAGAGGACACAAGGCAGGACTCCCCCAAACCACGTTCTGCACAGGAACCCACAGTCCTCACCCCAAAGGTGCAGGAAGCAGATGTTCCACTGCTGCCAGGCCCAGGGGAGGTCAGGGAATGGGGACGCCAGGTTGAACCTCTGGGTCATCCCCAGGGAGGGGATCTCCAGATCCTAACACCTTCCCACCAGCTTGTCTGTCCAGGGAACAGGGGTCAGACACGCCCTGGGGGCCCATCCCTCCCATGTCCCAGGAGTCCAAGTGCTCTGCCTGGAGGGTGGCAGCTACGCCACAGTGGGAGAAGCTGTGTGTCCAGGGTCCCCAGGGTCCTGCCAGGCCTACCCTCTTCTCTCCAGGGGCAGGGCGCCTTGGTGACAAGTGGGTTCCGTGGGGAGCAAGGTGGCCTTGGAAGGGCTGGGGCACCGAGACAACGACCCGCCCCTGCCTCCCCCTCTCCCAGCCACTTCCAGAGTGGCTTCTCACTGACGGGGCCACAACACCCCACAAGGCAGGAGGGGTCCCACATGGCTCCCAGCAAGTTCTGGCAAAGTCCGAGGCTACCTCCGCCCAAGATGCAGAGCCCCCGACTCACCACCACCCTCGCTCCGCATGCCAATGGTGCCGCCGGTGTAGATGGCCAGCAGCCTGCGCTCCGGTTCCATTGCGCGAGCCATATCCGGACCACGGGGACTCAGGTGGCTGCGGGGGGACAACCAGGGTGCGCCCACCACAGCCCAAGAAGGCAGGGAAGGGGTCTGCACAGGACGGTGCCGGGGGAAGTGGCAGGGCCTGTAGGGCACGGGAGTGGGGGAGCAGGCGGGATCTAGGGGCAGGGTGGGCCCCAGGCAGGCATGCCGGTGATGGAGGGGCGGGTCTTGCAGGGGGCGGGGCAGAGGCAGGGCCTCGCAGAGGGGCAGGAGAGCACCTGCATGGGGCAGGGGAGTGGAAGAGGGATGCAGGGCTTGGGAGTACCTATTCAGACTCTGAGGGCACTGAAAAGGGCCAGGGGCAGGGCCAGTCCTGCATGGGCCCAGATGTCTGAGTAGGTGTGGTATGTGGTGCAAATGCCACATGCCTCACATGGCATGGTTCCAGAAGACCCCAGAGAGCAGAGGCAGAGTGAGGGCCACCCTCCCTCCAAGCCCGGTGCTCTGGCAAAGCCAGCACTATTGACCAGGCTCTGGGTATCTGCTCCTTGGGGCGGCCGTGTACATCCACATACCACCCAGGACAAGAGCCAGAGAGCGCCCCCCTGGGACTGCAGCCCACCTTGCTTCACTCCTCCAGAGGAAGTGAAGTCCCATGAGGGGCTGGAGCTGAAGGTTCAACCCCAGCTGGATAGAGCCTCCCTGGGGGGAGCCTGGGGCTGGGGTGACTAAAGAGGGAGCATAGCTGGCATTTTGGGAATACTTGCTGAGTCTGGGGAGAATCAGGGGTAACCCTATCAAGCCTCCGGTCAGAGCAGCTGGTAAGTGGTATGGTCACTGAGTTGGGGAGACCTGGGATAAGCAGGAGGAAGGTGTGTGGGACATACTGTCTTTGAGCTGGTGCCTGGCCCTCCCAGAGAAGACCACAGCTGTGCATTCTGGAAAGTTGTGGAAACAGCAAGGTCACCTTGCAGTGTAAGCACAGAGACATGGTCCTGGGAAGATAGAACAGGGAGGAGAGGATTAGAACCGATAGGTAGAGGAGGTCAGGAATTGCCCAAACTTGAGTCAGATGGAGGTGTTAGTGACCTGACTGCAGCTCAAAGCAGCAAAGGGGACAAAGGTCCTGGGGAGGGTGCTGTGGTCATCCCCACAACCCTGCTGCCAGGGAAACACTTCTTCCCCACAGGGACTGGGTTCAGAAGGGCTGGGTGCCACTCCCTCGGGGCAGAGCTGTTCTGGGACCCCTGGTTTCTCCTCCTAATGCCACCCAGACTCAAGACCAGAAGGTATGTGGTGAGAAACCCCACTTAGCGCCCCCAGATCCACCTGCCCCTCTTTATTCTTCAGAGTGTTCAGAGTCATTCTCTCCTGAGGCCCAAAGGAGCCTCCTCACACCCTCTGCTCTCTCTCTTCTTTCTTACACGCTGGCCAGTGTCACTTCTTCCAAGCAGAGCAGGTGCTCAGCTGAGACCCCTCCCAGAGGGAGGAGCTGGGACTTTGAGCCGGGAGTCTGCCAGCTCATATCCTAGCAAATAAACTTCTCTTTCCTTCTCAAACCATTTGTCCTCTGATGCAACAGTTCCCCTGATGCAAACTTGGGGCAAGTGTAGAGCTTTTGGTAAGGGAATCTGGCATCTGCATGGGCCACAGGCACCCAGGCAGAATAACACCCCACAACTGCTGAGAGGTGGGAGCAGCCCTGAGCCAAGCTGTGGGAAGGAGCATTGCCTTTTAGGCTAAGAGTGAAGTACTTATGGTCCCAGCAGCTGCTGGCAGCTCCTGGGAGTTCCCATCTTAACTTCATCGAGAAAGAAACAGAACTGGAGTATCAGGCAGCCTCAGCTGTTCGTTTGGGTAAGTTCTGCAGCACAGAGACCCTGATGCAATCCATTGGGGTAGAATTCTGAAAACTCTAGCCCTGTGCAGGGAATGTGCTTGGAGTCCTGTCAGGATGTTTGTTTTGAGGATTCTTTCAGGAGTAGAAGTCATAAGGTTGAGTGAAAGTGGGGAACCTGGTCTGAATTTGGAACTCATGTGTGGTTCCCAGGGAATGGGGGAACTAGGTGACCATTTGGAGACTATGTCCCAAGGAATGGGGGGACTGGGGCCACCATTTGGGAAGGGTTTCCTAGGGAAGAGGGGACCAGGCCACCATTTGGGGAAGGTTTCCTAGGGAAGAAAAGGGGGGAATAGGCCACAATTTTGTTCCAGGGGAACAGGAGGAGGAGGGAAGGCCACCACGTCCCAGGATCCAAGAGGAGGATCAGACCACCATTTGGGGAGCTTCCCAGGGTAAGGGGTACCAGGCCACCATTTATGTGGGGTTTGGCAGGGAACAGGGGGATGAGGCCACAATTTGGGAAGGGTTTCTCAGGGTAAGGAGAACCAAGCCACCATTTGGGGATAGTCTCTAGGGAACAAGAGGGGAGCCACAACTGGGGAGGGTTTTCCAGGAAACATAGGGACCAGGCCACTATTTGGGGGGTATATTTCAGAAAACTGGGGGACCAGACCACCGCTTGGGGTGGGCTTTCCAGGGGATGGGGCGCCAGGTCACCATTTAGAGTGTCCCAGGCAATGGAAGGACAAGGCCACCTTTTGAGGAGGAGTCAAAAGGGAACACAGTGACCAGGCCACTGTATGGGAGGATTTCCCAGGGAATAGAAGTACCAGGCCACAATTTGGGGAGGGTTTCCCAGGAATGAAGGGAACTAGCCACTGTTTGAGGAATTTGTCCCAGGAAACAGGGGGAGGAGGACAGGCCACCACTTGGGGAAGGTTTGCCAGAGAATAGGGGGACCAGGCCACTATTTGGGGAGGAGCTCCCAGAAAACAGGGGACCGGGCCACCACTTGGGGAGTGTAAACCAAAACACAGTTGACAAGGCCACCATTTGGGGAGGGTTTCCCAGGGAACTGGGTTGCCAAGCCACTACTTAGGAAGTATTTGACAGAGAATAAGGGAACCAGAGCATTGTTTGGGGAGGGTTTCCAGGGAATGGGGTGACCAGACCACCATTTGGAGAGGGTTTTCCAGGGCACCAGGGGACCAGGCCACCATCTGGGGAGGGTTTTCCAGGGCACCAGGGCACCATCTGGGGAGGGATTTCCAGGGCACCAGGGGACCAGGCCACCATCTGGGGAGGGTTTTCCAGGGCACCAGGGTCCAGGCCACCATCTGGGGAGGGTTTTCCAGGGCACCAGGGGACCAGGCCACCATCGGGGGGGGGGGTTTCCAGGGCACAGGAGGACCAGGCCACCATTTGGCAAGGTTGTCCCAGTGATCTGGGGGACCAGGCCACCCTTTGGGAAGAGTTTCCCAGGTGGACTAGGCTACCACTTAGGGAGGGTTGTCTATGGAATGTGGGGACTAGGCTAGTATTTTGGGAGGGTTTCCCAGGAAATGGGGTGATGAGGCACTAGGGGAAGGGTCTCGCTTGGTCAGAGGGCACCCCTAGCCAGGGCTAGGCAACTAGCATGAATTCCTCACAACTGGGTAAAATGGCTTTAAAGTCAACTAAAAACCATGTGTGTCCTGCTAGCTGTGCCAGCCAAGGATCCTTTGAGACGGTTGGAAGGAAAGGCCACCATGGGGTGGGGTCCCCTCAGTGTACAGAGAAGAGGACGCTGGAAAGAACCCTGCCCAACACTGCAAAGGGCTCCTGCAAAACCCAGGGTTTCTGCAGGGCCAGGACTCATGATGGAAGGGATCTGGGGGCCCTGCCTCACCACCAGCTCCAACCCAGATATCCCCGGGGAAGCCTCAGTGCAAACAGACAATGGAGGGATAGTTAGCAGACTTTTACGAATGTGGGTGCCCAGGGCTCCATTCCTCCCCACTGAAGCCCCAAATGGGAAGTGACAGTGGGGATTCAATTGGCGCCAAGCCACAAAAGTCTCCCCTCTCCCTGGCTTCAGTACCTGCTGTCTGCACTCCCCTCAGTGGGCCCAAGTGAGTGACCTGGTCAAGCAGGGGAGCCCCAGGAGCTATTCCAAAGGTGTCAGAAACTCCCCTCCTAGGGCCCAGCTGAGCTCCCTGGTGATACCAGGGCCTGGTGAAGCACGGAGGCGGCTGCCACATGGAGCAGGTCTCTGTGAAGTTCAGGCAGGCCCACACCTGGTTATGTGCTGGCAGAAATAAATCAGCTACAGGGAGCAAGGCCGTGCTGACCAACAAGAGCCCCAGACCTGCAGAGAGAATTTAGACTCCCCACACCCATGAGTTTTGCCACGTACAGGACCCACATGCCACTAACGACACTGTGCAATATGGCACTGGCATTTGAGTGACAGCATCCTGGGGCTGGGTGGCCTTGGGGTGCTGCTGGACTGTGTCAGGGGCTTTTCAAAATTTTCAGATGACAGGGGCACAGACGTTTTGGTTTACATAAATTGCCTTTGTAGAGTTTGAGTCTAAGTGATAAGCATGCCCATCACGCAATAGCATGTACTGTACCTGCTGGGTGTGAATTTATCTGAGGTGACAGCAGGGCTGGCACCCCCCCACCCCCACTCCCACCACCCCACCCCGCCATGCTGAGACCAGGCTCGCTGCACAGCCACCTGCTGGCAGGAGGAAAAGCCCGGACCTGGCAGACAGTGTCCCCCAGAGCTCTCTGCTGGGAAGAAAGCACAGGTCACAGGGCCTGCTTGGGGCTGAAGGGTGGAGTGGGGGCTGGAGCCAAGCAGCACAGGGTGCCAGTCCTCCAGCCACTGTGGAGAACTTGGTAGTTTCCTGTAAAGTTAAACCACTACTTGTTCTATGACCCAGGAATCCTACAACTCCTTAAGTATTTATCCAAGAAAAATGAAAACACCTATCTACAACAGTTTGTTCATAAAAGTTTTATTCATAACAGGCGAAAAGTGAAAACAGCCCAGATACTCATCAGAGGCAGAACAAAGAAACCGGCATATTTATATAATGGATGATAAAATACTGACTCACAGTGTTTTAGTCCATTTTCTCCTGCTGTAACCACACAAATAAACCTCAAAAACATTACGTTGAGCAAAAGCAGCCTGACACAAAAGAGCACACACTCCTTCCACTAGAGCGCATAGCCTGTTCACATCAACTCCCCCAACACCCAAAGTGACCCATCACCAAGGCGGGCGGGCCTGAGCCGCTAGGCACACTCTTCATGGCTGCACGAATCCGTCCACACTCAACGCCTTATTTCAGATATGCATACTTAAGGTACACCCCCACACGATTTCAAAGGGGAGAAAAGAACTTCTGACTTACAACTACATGAAGAAGAGGAGGAAGGAGCAGAGACTATCAAGTTCTGTTTCTTGCCCTGGTGATGCGAGGTTTTACACCGTTCCACATCAAAATTTACATGATAAGAAGCCTAAACAGTCAACACGAAACAGACGTGACTCACTCTTCTCTGACAGCTCTCCGAGTCCTTCGTAATCACGATCCGCTAAGTCGGAAGGAGTTCTGCTTTTGTAACTTACCCTTACTTCCCGTTAATGTTTCCAATTGTTGAGTTTTCTCAATTCTGAGATATTTACTACTGTTAATAATTAGAAAAGCTTACCATTTTGCGTACAAGACTAATAGCTGCTGAGCAAAACCTGTGGTTCTCAGAGAAAGGGGCTGGAGGGCAGCTAGAGCTCCCTCACTGAAATTCTCCTCCCACAAGGGGAAGATGCTCCTCTGTCCTGGTTCAGTGAAAAGCAGTAAGCAGCTCATTACAGACACAATTTAAGTGGAAGATATTGTGTGAGGGATGACATGCCACATTCTAATTACAGGTCTTCAAAGGCATAGTCTAGTTCAAGACCCCTGAAGTCTCTTACCTTTGGAGTCCAACATCATCCACAGTCACATGACACCGGACACTTGGTCAATGACAGACTCCACACAGACCATCCACAGTGTGACGCCGCTGTTCCACTATGTCTTTTCTGTGACAGATACACATGTTCTCTTCACTGTGTCCCAGCTGCCTACAGCAGTGAGCACGGTGCCATGCTGTACAGGTGTGGCCCGCTGTGCTGTGAGCTTCTGACATGTGGGGAGTCACTGACCATACACTGTGTGTAGCCCATCAAGTGACAAATGAGTGTACTTCTCTGAGGTTATAATAGAACCTCTTGTTTAAAAAAAGCTTTTTCAAGTTAATGCACAAAGGTGATCATTCTAGCACCTAAGTGCATCTGGGGAATCACCGAAAATGTGCCTAGATGCTGTGCCACCTGCTTGCTGCAGGCTTCCCCGCAGCCTCAGGCTCCCGGCTGTCAGTGCCATGCTCACTGCCAGGGTCCCCGTCACGCTCCGCCTTTGTATTCCTCAGAAGATGCTTAATAAATGCTTGCTTACTTGGATTCTGATGATCTGGATACTGTCCATCCCTCTGAAATGAAGTCAGCCTAGACTTCTCAGCATGCTGAGGTTTGGGTCAGAGTTGCTTTCCATTTAGGCAAATCTGGATGAAGAGCTTAGAAGCAAATGCCATTGATCAGCACCACCCAGGGGATACCCATCTGCTTTGCTCTCTTGATTTTGATTCTTTTGCAGCTTAGCACTTTGTTGAGTGAATGTGTATTCTTTTAATTCTTTCAGGGTTTTAGTGTATACTATCTCAAACAGGGACTACAGTTTGTTGCTTGTAACACAGACCAAGCATAACAGAGGCTATAAAAAGTTAATTCTTCTCTCACATAAAAGAAGTCTGCAGGTAGCAGTCCAGAGCTGACAGGATGGCTCCATGGTTGAGAGGAACCCAGACTCTGCCATCATTTGTGGTGGTGTCCATTCTCAAGGTCCTCTCAGGGTTGAACATGTCTGCTAGTGCTCCAGCCATCAGGTCTGCATTCCAGGAAGGAAGCAGTAAAGTATCTTAAAAACAAAAGGGCCCATACCACCTGCCTGTCTCCCCTTTAAACAGCTTTCCCAGAAGCTTTATCTAAGAAGTCCCAGCTCTCATCCCATGGGTCAGGACTAGTCACATGGCCATCTAGCTGCAAGAGACCCAGGGAAATATAAATCTCTTGGTGAGGCACACTGCTGTCTGCTCAATAAAACCATACTCTGTCACTAAAGAGAGGAAGGAATAGCAAACTCTGCCATAGACAACTCATGTCAAGTTTAAGGCTGTGTGATGGGTCAGTGTGGTCAGATGCAAGTGGCACTGGCATGATCTCTTTTCCACTTACCCATGGCCTCACTCCCCCCTCAACTACCAATCAATCCCACTGTCTCCCATCCCGGATGACTGCAGTCACTGTCTTCAACCCATCCTTCTACACCCCACTGTGTTCTCAATCCCACACTGATATATATGGACACACGTTCTGGTTCCTGATTTATTTTTTTGAGACAGAGTCTCACTATGTCACCATCACTAGAGTACCATGCTGTCACAGCTCACAGGACCCTCCGACTCTTGGGCTTAAGTGATATTCTTGCCTCAGCCTCCTGAGTAGCTGGGACTACAGGTGCCTGCCACAATGCCCGGCTATTTTTTGGTTGCAGTTGTCATTGTTCAGCAGGCCCAGACTGGGCTCAAACCCACCAGCCTAGGTGTATGTAGCTGATTCCCTACTCACTGAGCTACAGGCGCCAAGCCTGGTTCCTGATTTTTTAGTGAGACGTAACATACCATCTACACACTTCTTCTCACTCACGGCATCTTGTGGAAATCTCTTCAGGGTGACAGCTATAAACTCTCAGCCTGCTCTTCATGTGGCTTTGCACCATTCCTTGGTGCTGCCTGCAGTGACCTGCTTGGACATTCCCTTCTGAGGGGCATTCACCTTCTCCGGGTATCCACGGCACTGCACAGTTGTCCTCATATATCAAGGACCAAGGTATGACCACTTTTAATTATCATAGATGCTGCCAGATTGTCAAAAGCAGCTAAGGCACTTCATAAACATACCAGCAATATGTTAGCACTTTTCCCTCTCCAGTTCCTTGTCAATAAGCCAGATGGCTCTAAAATCCTGCCCACCTGTGGCATGGATCTCACTGGTTACGGTTCCTGCACCACCAAGGGCCTCGGGCCCCATTGTGCTTGACACTCACTAGGACCTGCTCTTCCACAGACTGGCTATTCATGTGACTGTCCTGATCTTCTGCTGACTCTTGCTCTCCTGACAATTTTTCTAAAGCTTCTTATGCAGTACATATTAACTCTGCCATTTGCATTGCTGTGTCCAATCCAGCCTCTCCATTGATGGCTTCTGTAGATCTCCTGCCAAAGAAAGCTCAATGCTCATAGAGATGAATGTACTTATACCTGTACATAGCTTCTGATTTTCCAATCTAGGTTCCATAAAATTTTTTTTTTTTTTTGAGATGGAGTCTCATATGTCACCCTGGGTAGAGTGCTGTGGCATCACAGCTCACAGCAACCTCCAACTCTTGGGCTTAAGTGATTCTCTTGCTTCAGCCTCCCAAGTAGCTGGGACTATAGGCACCGGTCACAATGCCTGGCTATTTTTTTTGTTGCAGTTGTCATTGTTGTTTGGGAAGGCCAGGCCAGATTCAAACTTGCCAGCCTCAGTGTATGTGGCCGGCACCCCAGCCACTGAGCTATGGACGCTGAGCCAGGTTCCATAGAATTCTGTTCTTGTGCATTTATTCATCCATGCAAAAAGATACCTTTAACCAATTCCAAAAAGATGCGCTGTTGGAATTCTAATTGGAATCATCTTACATTTGCAACGCTAACTTAGGAGAACTGACGTATTTATGATGCAAAATTTTCTTAGATGCGCTTTTTTAGCTGTCCAGATTGTTATGCCTCCCAGTAAGGTCTCCGTTTTCTTCATGTAAGTGTAAATCCTATGCCTTTATTCTAAAGTCTATATACAGTGAATGTTTTCCCCAGTTCTAGGTTCTTGTTGCCACGGTAGAGAAAGCTATGGCCTTTGTATTGTTCACCTCCAGAGGGCTTCCCAGAGTCCTTACTACAGCAGTGCGTTTTCCAGGTTGTAGAGGAAAAGAATTCATACCTCAGGCCAAGGCTACTTTCCTTAGAAAGGTCAGCTACAGGGGTGACCCTCAACCGGCATCTGGGAGGACGGGTTTCAGTAGAGTCCCTGCCATCCTCTTATTAACAAGGGTGGCTCATGTGCCTGAACTACTGGAACAAACTGCACGGCTTACACTCAACTGGGAGTCTGGAACTTCAGCACATGCTGCTGGGCAGGGTTCCTATGTGACCAGCCCCCAGTACAGTCTGGAGTGCTGAGACTCTGATGAGCTCCCTCGGCACACCACACTTCACCCATGCTGTTACAACACACTAAGGTGTGACTGGGAAAGGGCCTGTCAGGCACCTGGTTTTCTCCAGACTTCACCCCACATGGCTGATTCTCTCTGGATCCTTCTACCATGATAAATCTTAGCCCTGAGTATAATGACATGCCCTGCCTGTGAGTCCTCCTAGTGAATTCTTGAACCTGGGTGGTCTTAGGCACCAACACACAGTACCTTATATCGGCAAAACAAGCTTCTTGTCTAATGTTATACCAGATATTTCATTTTTCTTATTCCATTTGCTAAAACCTTCAAGTCATTCTTAAATAACAGCAATAGCAGACATTGCTATCCAGTTCCTAATTTCAACTGAAATGGTCTTTCTTTACTTCCTTTATAGAGTCAGGGTCTCACTCTGTTACCCAGGCTGAAGTATACTGGTGATCAGAGATCACAGAAACCTTGAACCCCTTGGCTAAAATGATCCTCCTTCCTCAGCCTCCCAAGTATCAGGGACTACAGTTGCCCACCACCATGTCTAGCTAATTATTTTAATTATTTGTAGAGATGGAGTCTTGCTGTGTTTCCAAGGCTGGTCTCAAGTGATATTTCTGGCTCAGCCTCCCAAAGACCTGGGTTGACAAGTGTGAGCCATCACACCTAGCCTGAAATGGCTTTAATGTTTTGCCCCTTAAAAGAACATTTGCCATTGAGTTTGGGTTTTCATCACATGTAAGCACAGGTGGTCCTCACTTTACAGAGCTGTGTTAAGCACAAGTTTCAGTTACCATAGGTAGAACTAATACAGATACCCAACAACACAGTTGAGTATCAGTCCCCACAGCACAGACCTGCCTTAACTGTGTGTAGTGCACACCACTGCTAGCTCTTCAGTCCCCAAGTACAAACACACGAGGGACTTGCCACTTCACAGTCTTCAGTAACGGGTCAGTGACCACCTTTCAAACAAAGAAAACTTGGTCATTGTGTTGCCTCCTTGTCTACCAGTGACAAAGCCATACAACAGTTAACAGACATGCAAGGAGGGAAGCAGCCCACAAAGGTGACACGTACAACAAGGAAATCAACAGTGAAACACTAAGATAGACTCTCTCTGGATTAAAGATTTAAACTTCAGACATGAAACTATAAAAATACTAGAAGAAAGTATAGGGAAAACACTTGAAGAAATCTACCTGGGTGAAAATTTTATGAGGAGGACTCCCCTCCAGGCAACTGAAGCAACATTAGAAATACACTACTAAGACCTCATCAAACTAACAAGCTTCTGCACAGCCAAGAACACAGTAAGCAAAGCAAGCAGACAGCCCTCAGAATGGGAGAAGATATTTGCTGGTTATGTCTCCAACAAAGGTTTAATAACCAGAATCCACAGAGAACTCAAACATATTAGCAAGAAGAGAAGAAGTGATCCCATCTCAAGGTGGGCAAGGACCTGAAGAGAAACTTCTCTGAAGAAGGCAGGCATATGGCCTACAGACATACGAAAAAACGTTTATCATCCTTAATCATCAGAGAAATGCAAATCAAAACTACTTTGAGATATCATCTAACACCAGTAAGATCAGCCCATATCACAAAATCCCCAAATCACAGATGCTGGCATGGTTGTGGAGAAAAGGGAACACTCTACACTATTGGTGGGAATGCAAACTAATACATTCCTTTTAGAAAGACCTGGAGAACACTTAAAGCACTAAAAATAGACCTGCCATTTGAGCCTATAATTCCTTTACTAGGGATATATCCAGAAGATCAAAAAGCACACTACAACAAAGATATTTATACCAGAATGTTTATTGCAGCCCAATTCAAAATTGCTATGTCATGGAAGAAGCCCAAGTGCCCATTGACCCACAAATGGATCAATAAATTGTGGTATATGTAAACTATGGAATACTATGCAGCCCTAAAGAAGGATGGAGACTTTTCCTCCTTCATGTTTACATGGATGGAGCTGGAAAATATTCTTCTTAGCAAAGTATCTCAAGAATGGAAGGAAAAGTGTCCAATGTATTCAGCCCTACTATGAAACGAATTTATAGCTTTAATAGGAAAGCTATAACCCAATTATAGCCCAAGAATATGGGGAAGGGGA